GCCTGTGACTGGGTAGGGTGACCCACCTATCATCCCTCCCAGCACTTTGTTTCCATAATTTCACTAAATCAATAACTTCTAACGGTAACAATGGCCACTAAACTGACAGCCTAACTCTGGAGCTCATATAACAGTGAGATTTTAATCTTCAGAGCTGCAATGTACTTGGGATGTTTCAATTTGATAATGTTAACAGCTGCCTACCTACTCCACTTCACTTCACCACTTTGCCTTCGTCCATAATTTCTTCAGCACCTGTCAAAACTGCCCGTGTGGAACCAGTGGGAAAACCAGGTCTCAGGGTCTCCAGAAATAAAGTCCTGCACAAATCAGTGTGAATTTACAAAACCAATAGGCTTAAAATTTAGACTCGGGGAAAAGAGACTAGGAACGTCAGTTTTTTCAGCCAAGATACACAGGGTTTTCTTCCAGTCCCACTGTTTTCGAATCGCCTTATGTAGCACGGGCAGGATTGAAGATAGGCCTTCATTACTGAACAGGAAGGTATTGAAACAGAATCATCTAAATAAAGGAACATTGATATAATTGGGCAATGTTGCAGATGGTGAGCTGATGTTGGATAAAATCCTAAAGTTATATTTGCTCTTAAGTGTTCATCTGTTAATTCCTGTTAGCATAAATACGTTACTAAATCTCCCACAGTAAACAGCTGTGGTAAATGACTTCTGTAAGCTTAAAAGCCAATGGTAATAAAGTATTATTTTGTTTTCCATTAAAAAAAATAACAAGAGGCTTATATGAGATGTGCATACACGTTTGGTTCCAGTGGAGTGTTATGCATGAGCACCCAAAGTTATTTCCTATCTGAAATCTGTGTCACTGCAAATTAGCTACATATGCTATTGCCTTCCTATCGCGATTCTTACTGCCTCCAAGTTACACAAGTTTTCTATGTATAGCTCTGGGTCTGCACAAAAGTTTTGGGGCCACCTTAATGCCATTTCTCCTTGATGACTCAAGTTTACCATTAAGCTAGGAACACAGGATCAGGAAAAGTTACCCAAGCCACTGAATCCAGTCCTCTACGAGCCCACAAAAAACCACAGTAGGTATTTCAACAAGCTATAGGTTATCTGTTCTATACACCACCACTCAGGGTGTGGGGGGGACGATGGGGATGACACAAAAAACCCTAAAAACTTAAAAAACCCAAAAACTTAAAAAAAAAAAAAAAAGAGTGAAAGAGCCATAACTATAGCACGTCATGAGAAGTGAGCAAGAGAGGTAAGGCATTGCCAGTGTCCTAAGTCTGTACAATAGCTTGCAGCATATTAAATATTTATGGTCTGAAGAAATAGGGAAACTGATACAGATAAAATTATCCTTCAATCCAAGCAGCTACTGCAGACTTGCTAAGTGTGAGATATGCTACTAGGGATTACAGAAGGTGTCAGTGAAGTTACACACAGGCATACACACAGCAGAAAAAGGAAAACGCTTCAAAATAACGTATTATCCAAAACAAAACTGTAGTCTTTGTATAAGCCTATTTCTATACATAATGTTTCCAAGTGCCCTTTATAGAATTAAGGCAAAACTTGAATTACTTTTTTTTTTTTAACAGAAAAGCAATACGAATTGATTCTAATAAAGCATTTCATACTGCATTTCACAGCATCTTACTGGAAACATCAATTCAAAATGGCTTGCAGCACAGAGAGATATGGCTTGGAATTTGGGTTAAAAGATCGTAAGTTGGAGATAATGGTGTATTCACATTATGTAAACTTGCCCTTTGTCCATCTTCATTTATTAAATTTAGTATAGTCACGATAGGGACCTCAGAAGAAAGGACCACTGCATTGGAGACCTGTCTGGTGAATGCTCTGAGGAAAACTTGGGTACAGTTTGTGGGCTGATGCAAAGTCGATACAACGCTGGACTTTGGCAATGGAGAAAAATCCCGAGGAGATGGAGCTACCATAGCCTTTTAGAGGCCACCAAGAAGAAAGAAACACAGAGTTAATCCACCAACTCTAAAACCCATCGTAGAGGTAAGAGGAGATGCAGCCACACCTGTAAAGGTGTCTACCCATCAGAGGTGTGGAATGGTGTGGGCCTGCAGCAGCAACCCAGAGCTGAGAAGCCAGCCCCGCTGCTATTTCCCCATAAACTGGCCAAGTCCTCGCAGTATCCCAAGACTCGAGCCTCTCACAGTAAGCCTGTGCATCCACTGAGCTCTGGAGTCAAGGCCACAGCAGTATTAGCTCTAAGTTTTACCTTGTGCTACACTCACCCAGGGATACAGTCCTTCTCCCTCATTATTCAGCTGACTGCACTATAGAGGTGGAGTTGGATGTGGACATAATTTAGTAAGTTTGTGATATGACTAGAGACGTTTGGCACACTCTGAATAACCAGTGTTTCAGTAACTTACTGAGCTTGATTACCTTGGAGGTTCTGACAGGAAAAATAATGTTTTCCTAAAGGTTGAAACAAATTCTACTAAAAACAACAGCAACCCCGGACCAAAGTCAAGATGCCATTTCTATATTGCTATTGATTAAGCTCACAGAAGGACTTCTGCTCCACTGAAATGTAATACCTACCCCTTGATACCTCTCTTTTATGCACTTTGGCCTTTACATCCCATGAGCCCTTTAATCTCACTCTAAAGAGCCAACCGGTCCAGGCTGCTTCTCAGCCATCCATAGAAAACTGTAGTCCTCAGAAGAAATGATTTCCCTCTCCTCCTCCATCAACTGATTTCCAAAGCCGAGCCAAAATAATCACACCACAAGCATACTTACATGGTGCACAGCCACCTGAAATATGAGGGGCTCGCTTCATTTCCAAGCTACATTTGTCATTCACAGTGCTTAACTGCAGGCATATAGCAAAATGTTATGGCGATAAAAAAGGATTTTCAATAACATTGTTGAAAAATAAGTTAAAACAGAAATTTAAGAAGAGTTTGGTAAATCCCAAAACAGGAAAAAGCTGAATATGTCATTTCAGTATCATGGCTTTTCTTCAGTTCTTGACCCTGCCTCGGTTTTTAAAGCAGATCCCTCCTTCCAACTTCTTCATGCTCTTTAAATCAAGGGCCCCACTGGACTAATGTAATCCATATGCTTACTATTGTTTACATGCTATTCATAAGGGTCAGCTCAGCTGAATTATGACCCCACTACACATGCTTCCCTACTGTCTGTTACCTTTATCACAGAAAGGCACGCTTGGAGAAAAAAATAAACAGAATGTGATGAGCGTGAAGTTTATTACGTTTTCAAGAACTGTTTTTATGTACATTTTTGCTAGACGTCAGAACAAGAATATTTTTATGAGATACTTGATTAAATATCTTTAAAAGTCATCAGAAATAAATTAGATGTAAGTGATGCATGTAAGCAAAGCATCAGCTATATATTCATTACTGAGTAGACACAGAAGCCACTCTTCTTTCTTTCTTTCTTTCAGAAAACAGACTTTTGTATTGGAGAGGACTGGATCAAGAATTTCACATGAGAATCTTCTTGTGTTTATCATTTTAGAAAGGTCCTATATTCTGCATGGCCCAGTGCAGGATGAGCAGCTGGTTCAGGATTTGTGATGTGGTAAGGAAGCTGCTGGACATGCATAAATAAATTAACATCTCTCCTCGCTGCCCTGCTACAGAAACACAAATCTACCACAGGACAAGAAAATGAACAATTAGCAGAACCTTGCTTGAAAACAATGGGTTTTTTCCCTAAGAACAGGATTTGTTATATTTACTGCTTTTCCCGATGGCAGTGAGAGGGCTTGCAGTGCATGGAGCTGGCGCACTGTGCCAAGTCCAAGCAGCGGCAGGAGGGCCGGCGCGTGTTGCAGCAGCAGCTGCTGCAGGCACAAGGAGGCAGGGAGCCGCACCGCGGGATCGGGGCAAACCAGAGGGAAACACTGCTCTCCAGGGAGCGTTAGACAAAGCGGGAACGTGATGGGAGCACTAAGGAGCATGTGGTGTTAGCAGCATGGCTAATGCCATAGTGACTCGGGGGAAGCACGCAAGCTCAAACCAGAACGCTCTACAGTCCTCAAGGTAGAAACTAGCTGCACTCAGATGCTAAAAAGGGCTGGGGAGAGGAAGAAAGCAACGAGCTGCTGGTGGAGCTGGGGGCAGCGACAAGCCTTTTATCATTTCTATCCTAAGCACTGTGCAGCAGGTGGTGTTCAGCAGCCGACTCTTAAGAGTAGGTCCAAAACTCAAGTGAGGACTGTTTCTGGCCCAATGAAGGTGCCTCACCAAGTTTTTATATGTAAGGGGCTGTCAGCTCCCCTGTAGACTTGTTTTCTATTATACACCTCACCTAAAGGAGTAATATATGAAGCATACTGCTGCTGAAGACTTAACAGAGCCAACAACATAAAAAGAACAAGACACTGATCCTCCATCATTTCCTAAAACATGAAGAAGTATCTGGATGCAGATACACATGGTTTAGTCAATTTGCATTGTGCTGTGGCTGCGTGATGCTCTCAAAACAAACAAACAAAAACCCACCCAGAAAGCAAAACAAAAGCATGCCACTAATGGTTTGAAACTTAATAACATAACTGACACGGCATTCGCTTCCTTTCGGCATTATTTTTCAAACCCATGGGTGAAATATACTCTTTCATGCTGTGGCCCCCTTAGCAGATGCCCTCTGAGCATTTGAAGCTTGAGAAACAAACAGCACGTATCAAGCCCATGCCTTTCAGGCATGAAACTCTTATTAGCAGACTAGCCTTACTAGCCTTTAATTTACAGTTTTGTCTAGTGGGTGCATGTCAGCTCCACTACAAAGGGATTTAATTAGTCTGTAACTTGACATTGCAACACACCGGCTAGACAGACCAATGAAGAAGGACGTGTATGGAACTGCAGAGCAAACTGCAGATTTGCATTAACTTGGAAGCAAGAACAACAGCCATGTCCAAGCCAACTTGTGCTAACCACTGCAACAGTAACATAAATAAGCGAGTAATACAGCAAAGTGCTAAACCTTTGTCCATACCTGAGACACAGGAGGTCGAGGGGGCAGTGCAGGTGGTGGTGGGGGCAGCCAGCCAGACCTCACAGCTGAGCAGCGAGTAAAGGAGGGGAAAAAAAAAAAACAACAAAAAACAAACCCACATTAATTTAATTCCAAATAAAACCAGAATTAATTTCCATGTGAAAAGGCAGCATTCAACATTTTAATAACAGAAACCAAACCTGACTTTTATTGAGCAAACCCTGTTTGAAATAACTTCATGAGTAGTGAATAAGCAGTGATTTAATTGCCGTAAAAACCCACAATGTTATGATAAAAAGCAGAGATGGAAGCCAGTCAGCCACAAAAGCTGTGGCTAAAGCAATCCAATTCTAGTTAAAGAACCCCAGAAACAGGGTCTACTTGTCCTTGGGACTTTGTTCTTTGTCATTAACATTATTGCCTTTTTTTAAAAGTGATGCTTTGCCATCCAATGTAGACATTAGCATTCACTCCAGATAAAACACACTATGTGATGGAGTGCAACCTTAAAAAGAAAACATCTGCCATGGAATTAATAGGACAAAAGCCTAAACGAACCAAAAAGAAATCTGTTTCTTTGGCTTTATGTTTTATATTTGCATATTATTACTCACTGGAGGTATGTCAGAGGGAGGAAGAGAAATAAGGGGAGGAAGACAAACCCTAATGGTCAGTTCAGGCCCCTTTAACATAATGCAATGTCAGCTTTTAGTTTGAGCCAGCACAAAGTGGAGGGTAACAATAACATAGGTCCAGCCACTGTATTTCTCAGTTTCCTTAAAATACCTAAAACCCATCACGGGACAAAACTACAGGACAGATGATGGCTTCCAAAGGCAGCTGCAGAGAGGAGGACTAAGCTAGCACAGAGACACCAACCAGGACTGGTGGGAGTCCTTAGGTGGGTTACCCTCCCCAAGCTCCTGTCGCACTGAGTGCTCAGCACTTGCACTAGCAAAGATATCAGACAGTCCATCTTGCACTGGTGGTTATTTGTATAGCAAAAAAACCCCAACAATATTAAACTTAGAAATGCCTTTTACCACAATAATGCTAAGCAAGCAATTATTTTTATACGCTTTTTATTTCCATGCGTATTTTAAAAAGCCACCAAGACCATTACAAGCCCTGTTACAGCTTAGCCATTTACATATCTTATACGCCAAGTCTAAAAACGTCTACATGGTTGAAAATACAAAGACAAAAGATATAACCATTAAGGACAACAGTGACATGAAGTAAAAATGTGTGGGTGAAAATGTTGAGAACAGTCATATCGACTATATACAGCTCCAGAGAGGCTTATTAATACATTGGGGTTTTTTACATCTTCTGTATCATCATCTCTTGAATCAAAATGAAGCCTAATATCACTACACACAATGCCAAGGAGAGAGGTAGAACAATTAACACCCAACTTAGGTTAAGCAAGGGAGCCACTAACACACCTACAGGTGTAAGAGATTTGAAAAAAACATGGTCTTTAGGATCCTCTCTCTTGCATTTGATTAGTTCCATTTGTAAGGCCACTGCAATACCAGCATGATACTGTCACTACATTCGCCATCTCTTCTGCGCAACTAATCTTTACAAAGGAACAGCGGAGTAAGAAACCTTCTTCTCCTGTAGTCTGAACTTCATTTATCTGAGCACTGGCAGTGGCTTTGGCAATTACAGCTAATAACAGTATTTGAAAACACCATCTAACTCAAACACCAGCACTCTGTAGGTCCATCAGCTGCACGCTGTAATAGCAGACAAGTACATACGCTCAACGTAATACGTTTATCTTCAGGAAACCTTGTGGGAGTCGTGTTACGACGCTCCATAGAAAACACCTGCATGCACCTTACCCTCCCACCACCACCAGCGATTATCACTGCGAGGGTATCATCTCTGCTCTCCAAACAGCTCTAATGTCATGGGGGGAGCACTAATCACGCACTCTTCCTAACAAGCCCCTGGCAGCCCAAAAACAAAGCTATGGAGTGCCCAAAAACAAAGCTATGGAGTGCACTGCTGCCACGAGCACGGGGGTCCCTGGGAAGGGGCACGTGGGGCCGGGGTCTGCCAGCAGGCACCAGCCCCAGCAGCTCCCTCGGCCCTTCCGAATGTACGTAACCCCCTCCAGGGTTCATAATTTTTGTAAGTGCTGGCTTACGCTCCGGCAGGCCCTCAAAAGCTTTATTGCAAGAGCTGCATCCATTGAGAACTGGCCTCAACTTCAGCTCCAGAGGATACACTTACTCTCCTTGCTCCCCGATTCTTCAAACCCAGTGATATACCTAGAAAAGCAGCAGGATAGTCTTTATGCAGAAAGGCACTGGGCTTGCTGGAAAAGCATCTCCTGAAGTGGTTGCACACACTGTGAAAACCCAGAAGTCTCCTGGGATTTGGCCCACAAAATTCCAAAGGGAAAAGTAATTTTTTTGTAAGACGGTCAAATTAAAAAAACCAAAAAAAAAACCCAAAAAAACAAACCAAAAGGAAAAAACCCCCACACCAAAAAAAACACCCCCCAAAAAACACTTCTTCAGCTTTCAAAATACAACATATATGAATGAATAACATTAAGGAAGTTAGATGCTTACACTATGTGCATTTGACCCAGTTTCCTCTTTTTAATCCTGCAATTTCTAACTTAAGCCACTCATGAAGTACTCATAAAATTCCTGCTGTTGCAGAACATCTTCGGCCTGTTAGAAGGAAATCATGTCTATGTGAGCACAATTGCTAGAAGAAAGTTAGTTGACTTTTGAGGACTCATAATAACTTATAAAAAAACCTCACTTTTTTTCCCCACAGAGCAATGAAAAAAAATTTCATGATAGATGCTGCATGCTTCAGCCTTCTCTAGTGTCGCTACCCTAAAAGAAGGCAATATTAACAGATACTCATAGGTTTTTATGTGTATCAGCAGGTGACTTGTAGTATTAGAGTATTCCAGAATGCCTGCCTTCCTGGGAGACTGCCCTGCGCAGATTGGCTCTCGCTGTTAGAGATGGCATCACTATACTAGCTCTGAAAGCAAACCCAAATACAGGGGGAAGCCTGTTTCCAAAATGAAAGCAAGTACCCTGGGAACGAGCAGCAAACAGACAAATGTCGTATTTCCAGGTGCACACCCCACAGCTGGGATAAGCTGCATGCCATCGCTCTTTGAAAACAAGTCTTCACACCCTGCGCAAAAGCAGAGGGAGCTGGAGGGAGCAGGATGAGCCTCGCACAGGTCGCCTCATTACTGAGCAGCTTGGTGGCATTCTGTCCTGGTTTCGGCTAGCATAGAGTTAATTTTCTTCCTAGTAGCTGGTGTAGTGCTGTGTTTTGGATTTAGGATGAGAATAATGTTGGTAACACACCGATGTTTTAGTTGTTGCCGAGCAGTGCTTACACTAGTCAAGGGCTTTTCAGCTTCTCATGCCCTGCCAGCGAGAAGCTGGGAGGGGGCACAGCCAGGACAGCTGACCCAAACTGGCCCAAGGGATATTCCATACCATGGGACGTCATGCTCAGTATATAAACTGGGGGAAAGCTGGCCAGGGGGGTGGACTGCTGCTGGGGGACTGGCTGGGCATCAGTTGGTGGGTGGTGAGCAATTGCATTGTGCATCTCTCGCTTTGTATATTATTACTACTATTTCAATTATTAAACTGGTTTTATCTCAACCCACGAGTTTTCTCACTTTTACTCTTTCGATTCTCTCCCCCATCCCACCAGGGCGGGGAGAGTGAGTGAGCGGCTGTGTGGTGCTCAGCTGCTGGCTGAAGTTAAACCACGACACATTAACGCCAGGGTGAGCCATGTACAGTAAATATCAGAGATAGCACTATTGGAACAGCCATACAGGTACTAGTAAAATAGATTTAAGTATACCCAGTATCCATATCACATGTATTCCTGTAAATGATAGCATTTTCACGCACTAGTAACTCCCACAAAGATAGCGATAAGGCTTTCAGTTCAAAAATCATGGCTCTTTACTTAGCATGTTTACACTTTAAGGCAGATTATCTGCATGGAAAGCTTCCAGGACCATTTTTCTGCCCTATTTTGGCAATTACAAAGGTCTGATAGCACTAACAGGACACCACACTAGATAAAAAACCCCACTAACAGGACACCACACTAGATAAAAAAAAAACAGGTTTTCCAATCTGAAGCTAGATTAAAATTTTAAAACAAACACCAGGCTGTAACGCTACACTCTGAGAACAGGCCACGCCACCCTATCTGGCCACGCCGCTCTGCCTCCAGCCTCCCTAGCAGACAACACAAATCCTCAGCACTTTCATTACCCACGGTAGTGAAAAATATCAATCATGGTGACCATTCAAGTAGCTCCCTTACCTGACTTACTTGATCTAGGAAGAGGAGACCAAGGAAAAACATAAAATTATCACAGTCCAGTCAAACCTATGGGAAGTAGGTCTTTAGCTCACCAGGCACAGCAGCAGGGGAGGATGCCAGAATTGGGGTGGAACAAATTTAGGCCCTTGGGATCCTTCAGAGCAACCTGTAAGAGCAACATGCTGCACCTCCCTCACCCAATGATAGTCACTTGTCCTCTTGTTTCTTAGTATTGAAGAAAACTTCCATAATACGCTGAGCTGCTGGGTGCATGCTATTTTTTTAAATTAATTAATAATAGAACAGCAGCATATAAAACTACATTTCCTGAGACATTTCCATGTCAAGTACTTAATTTCATTTCCGTTCTTTATAGCTGTCTTCCTTCTTGGTTTTATGTGTCTATCACTTTACCCTGGGTATCACCTCAGACAAGTTAGAGCTGTGGGGTAAAAAAAAAAAAGTTCTCCTCCTTCTCATCTGAATCGAACACTTTCATAAGCAGTGTCCTGAAAGAGGGTGGTTTTCCTGGGTCAAGGGCCGTTTTGTACCTTTCTAGCCAAAGTGAAACTAGACACCGCCTACCAAAGGAGGCTGACCGCATCTCACATCAAAACCCTACACACCTTTCATCCCATGATCAAAAGGGCACCCAGAGTTTGGTCGCTCCTCTTATTTCTGTCACCATTCCCAACGGAGAAAGAGGCCTGCGTTTCTC